AAGTGTGAAGAATTGTTTCATTGTAATATTTTAGTGTACATGTTTGTGGTCAGACGATTGTATTAATTTTCCCGTAGACTTACATTCATAAACATACATTAAAATTGAGTATTCATGCTAAATATGTGGTTCTGCGGGATAATTACATGTCTGACACATTAAAATAATCTTCCTAATATATATCGTTGACCGCCAACCAATTTTTTGCATAAATGTCCCCAAAAATTATTATTCCCAACCCTGTTCCCAAACCCCTCACACACACACACCACCACCACCACCACCACCACCACCACTACCTCTTTCACTGATATGTTCTGCTAATCACAGGACTGACAAGTCAAATAGTTTTTAAAAATAGAAATTTTTAAATGAAAAATTATTCTAGAGACTCATACAACAGTTCATTTTCCTAAGAAGACAATGTACATATAGTTTTAGTTTCTTTTATAATTTCTATACTTGTAAACATTACATTTTCATCCAATCACCCGATGTCTCATAAACTCATACCGTTATCACAGGTACCCTCTCATTTTTGAACATATAGGTACCATCAAAGCACGACATATGCTTTTATGTGCGTTAATCGTTAGGTTTGTAATATTTACATTAAAGTAAGAAATATTACATACATACTTAACGATTAACGCAAATAAAAGCATATGTCGTGCTTTGATGGTACCTATATGTTCAAAAATGAGAGGGTACCTGTGATATATAAAAATTCAAAAGAAGAGATGTAGCCCTGCCGCTGCAAAACCGAAAGTAGGGTGTTTTTATGAATTTTACATTTATTTTTGACAATATACTGCCATTTGTCCGAAGATGATATGTATATTAACGTATTAAATATGTATGATGCATATAAAATCAAGCCACAGGTTCATTTCAGCCCGAAAAATATGTCGAGGTGATGGGCGAGGCAGGACATGTCGATTTTTTGTAGCTTATTGTAAAGTTGCAGTACATGAAAATCGGGCACATAATTAAAACATTCTAGTGTTCCGTGGTATACATCTTTTCTACGTGTCATACTTCCTTTCCTTATTACAATGAAATTTTACTGGATTGTTATCCATCGCTGGTTTGTTTTTAGCAGAGAATGACCTGTGCATGTTCAATTAGGGTACCGTTTGAGTAGATTTCGCACAAAGAGGGTACCGTGTATATTAAAAGCCGGCGTTCTTAGTGCGTCCTTGACTAGAACATCTTAAGGACCCAATGGTTACTGTAGAAACCCTGTGAACACCCCAAGCATGTACTATAAACGTAAAGTAGATGCAGTATTTTCGCCTTCTAGACCAAAACAAGATATGTTTGTAAAACATGTATGACCCCCTATCAGCAGCTAATTAGTCATGTGACCAGATTATTGTGACTGACTTTTGACCTAGTGACAGAAAAAGCAATAAGGATTATGCACCGGTCATGACTTGTCACTAGGTAATTGTGACCGCAAAGGTTGTGTTCACCAATTTTATGACAAAGGTATCACAAATATTACCAAATAATGTATGCATAAATTTTGTGAATCATGTAGGCCTTATTAATGACAGCCAAGTTGTTATATTACATAATACCTTGAAATGTGTATACCAAAAGGATTTTAGTTATTGGTCAGAAACAGTCTTTACATTCAAGGTCAATATGACATTGACCTTTGACCTTAAAATCAATAAGGGTTATCTACTGGCCAAGACCAATGCACCTGTAAAGTTTGAAGGTAAAGGGCCCATGAGTTGTTGGGATATTGATAAAGCGTTTTTATATATAAGGTCAATGTGATCTTAACCTAAAAAATCCATTGATGTAATCTTCTGACCAAAAGCAATGCATCTGTAAAGCTTGAAGGTAAAGGGTCCCTGGGTTGTCCAGTTCTTAATAGAAAACTATTTTGAAATACAAGGTCAATGCAACTTTGACTTTTGACCCCAAAATCAATCTACTGGCACCTACAAAATATGAGAGCCAACAGCCCTAGGCTTGTCAAGTTATTGATCGGAAACCGTTTTTACCTACAAGGTCAATGTGACCTTGACCTTTAACCCTTTGTGTTAACGCACAAAGCAGGTCTCCAGTGTTACGGCTAGCTGAACTTTGAAATTTTGTAAAAGAAGACATCGGGGGGCCATTAACGACTATGGCGTTTTCCTTAAAATATCTGTTTAAATCGCCGCAAGAACGCTATGTGTAACGTGCGTATTTTTTAAGCTCGCGTAATTACATTTACATGAACTAATTTAATTTAAGTGTTAATCAAATGACAATTTAGATCCCATCCTCGGTAACCTAGGCTATTTACTGTTATTGGATAAATATTATGTGTGGTAAAAACAGAATGCTTACCGTGTTTTCTGACGATAGTCAGATCCTGTATTATAATTTAAATTCTTCTTAAGTTAACATTCTTCTATGCTGTTACATTTCTAAAACAAGCGCTTATTTTACATAATTTGAACATCCAACAAACTTTTCAGCTCTGAGTGAGCTTTTTGGTTCGATAAATGTCCGTTGTCCGTCCAAATTTGTTCGTAAACATGCTAGCGGTCACATTTTTTGCTTCAATCATCATCAAACTGTGTCAGGAGGCTTGTTTAGGTAATTGCTTGGATGAATCCGAACATGGGTCATCTCGGATAGAAAATTAGGTCAGAGGAATAAAAATAAAAATAGAAACTTCTTGTTAACACTCTAGTGGCTATCGTTTTAATCAAAATATCCTGGAAATTAGTTATGAAAGTTGGTTTTGATTATTTCTAGGTCAAGTTTGAATATGGATAACCTGGGGTCAAAAACTAGGCCATACAGCCAAAATATGGAAAAACCTCGTTAACACTCTAATGGTCACTATTTTTAATCAATTGTCCTCAAACTTAGTCAGGATTCGTGTCTGAGTAAATGCTCGGATTTGTTCGAATATGGGTCATTTCAATTGAAAAACTAGGTCAAAGAAATTAAAAATAGAAAAATCCTGTTAACACTCTAGAGGCTACTGTTTTTATCCAAATATCCTGGAAATTGGACAAAAAGGTGTTTTTATACCCCCAAAAACGAAGTTTGGGGGGGTATATAGGAGTCACCCGGTGGTCGGTTGGTCGGTTGGTTGGTCGGTCGGTCGGTCGGTCGGTCCAGACGTCCGTTGCATTTTCCTTGTCCGGAGCATAACTTGAAGACTAATGGTTGGAATTCAATATAACTACATACAATGGTCAAGCACATTGAGAGGAAGTGCAGTGCACAAGAACCATAACTCTATCTTGACTAATTACAGAGTTATTGCCCTTTGTTACTTTTCCTTGTCCGGGGCATAACTTGAAAACTACTGGTTGGAATTAAAAACAACTTGATACAATTGTCAAACACAATAAGGGGAAGTGCAGTGCACAAGAACCATAACTCTATCTAAAGTAATTACAGAGTTATTGCCCTTTGTTACTTTTCAATTGCTTTCTTTTGTCCGGACCATAACTTGAAGACTAATGGTTGGAATTCATTATAACTTCATACAATGGTCAAGCACATTGAGAGGAAGTGCAGTGCACAAAAACCATAACTCTATCTTGACTAATTACAGAGTTATTGCCCTTTGTTACTTTTCCTTGTCCGGATAATAACTTGAAAACTATTGGTTGGAATTAAAAACAACTTCATACAATTGTCAAACACAATAAGGGGAAGTACAGTGCACAAGAACCATAACTCTATTATCTAAAGTAATTACAGAGTTATTGCCCTTTGTTACTTTTCCATTGTATTCTTTTGTCCTGACCATAATTTGAAGACTAATTGTTGGAATTCATTATAACTTCATACAATGGTCAAGCACATTGAGAGGAAGTGCAGTGCTTAAGAACCATAACTCCATCTTGACTAATACAGAGTTACTGCCCTTTGTTACTTTTCCTTGTCCATGAAAATTACTGGTTGGAATTCAAAACAACTTCATACAATGGTCAAGCACAATAAGGGGAAGTGCAGTGCACAAGAACCATAACTCCATCTTGACTAATTACAGAGTTATAGCCCTTTGTTACTTTTCCATTGCTTTTTTAGTCCGGAGCATAACTTGAAGACTAAATGTTGGAATTCAATATAACTTCATACAATGGTCAAGCACATTGAGAGGAAGTGCAGTGTACAAGAACCATAACTCCATCTTGACTAATTACAGTTATTGCCCTTTGTTACTTTTCCTTGTCCAGAGCATAACTTGAAAACTACTGTTTGGAATTCAATACAACTTCATACAGTTGTCAAGGACATTAAAAGGAAGTGCAGTGCACAAGAGCCATAACTCCATTTTGACATAATACAGAGTTACTGCCCTTTGATACTTTTCCTTGTCCAGAGCATTACTTAAAACGTACTGGTTAGAATTCAAAACAACTTCATACAATGGTCAAGCACAATAAGAGTAAGTGCAGTGCTAGAACTGTAACTACATTTTCAGTATTTATAGAGTTATTGCCCTTTGTTCCTTTTCCTTGTCTTTCTGGACTTATAACAGAGTAATTCAATAAAACTTCATCAATGACCAACCACATTGAAAGGAAATGCAAATACAAGAACCACAACTATCTTTAATTGCACACAACCATAACTCTATATTTCAATTCTTTTACAAGGTATTCTGTTACTAGTAACATCCTCATTTCCGAAGCAGTCTTGTGGGGGTATTAATCACATTTAGTGATAGTTCTAGTTTTGGATGATTTCCATGTCAAGTTCGAATATGGGTCATCTGGAGTCAAAAACTAGGTCACAGAGCCCAAATATGTAAAAATCATGTAAACACTAGAGTCTATTGTTTTGATCCAAATATCCTGGAAATTGGTTGGTGATATCTAGGTCAATTTCGAATAAGGGTCATCTTTGGTTGAAACTAGGTCACACAGCCCAAATAAAATGACATTGAGCGTTCATAATCAGGTGACGATATGAGAGCAATCGTGGGCCTCTTGTACCTTTTGTCATATAAAACATCCGTTTCAGTTGCAAATTACGGTTTGCTTTACTGTACATTTTAATCTATATTTATCTAGATTTGATAAACAATTCAAATAGATATGAAAGATATTTTATTCGTAAAATAAATACATATAACTTTTAACTAGGATACAACGTCAAGATATATGTGTATAGTTTAACTTGCCAACTTAAATTATCCTACTGCCGTTATGAATGAAGTTGCTTATTCTTACTGAACTATACGTTATTATTAATTCAAGTTAAAGCTATCGTTTGCTTTATGTCTTTAAAACTCTTATCAGTATGGAAAACACTAGCAGAGCCTCGTCCCCACATGTCCCTCATTAAGCACGAACCCTCAATTGTTCTGGCAAATTTTTACATACAATGTTATCACTACACAGGCAACTGGTGATCGACTGTTAGTTGGGGCAATAGATTTTGGAACGTCATTTTCTGGTTGGGCATTCTCTTTTAAACATGAAAATGAAAGAAGTCCCCCAGGTGCAACCGTTAAAATTTGGAATGCAGGAACGATAACCACAGAGAAAACTCCGACGTGTTTATTGCTGAAAGCGGACGGAACATTTGATTCATTTGGCTATGATGCTGAAAAAAGATATGGAGAGCTCTCGGCCCAACATCTACACTCGGAATACTTCTTCTTCAGGCAGTTTAAAATGAAGCCCTTTGAACCGTTTGGAAAGGTATAAAATTAGTTATTGAAAAATAAACTGAAATAGCTTTTATGTTTTTACATGTTTTTGTATGGTAGATGTTAGATATTGGTATAACAATATGTAACTGAAAGTAAAAATACAAAAAAAGACTATTATATAAGTAACACATGGATTTGTTGCCAATAGTAAAAATGTCATCTCGGGGAAAATATTACAGTATTCTTATGACGTATGACATTTTTACTGTCACACAATGTTGATGATCTGAAATTGTTTGACACATAATTATTCACATTACAATTACTTGCGATGAAAACAGATGTTTACTTTTTGACTACTAGTATTCAACAAAAAGTTATTTTATTCGCGAAGCACTCCAGGGTGCAAACAACTTAATTTTATGGGTGGTAAAGTCACTCTGGTGATGCCTTATCGTACTGAACTTCGACAATGAATAGAGAAAAAAATGGCGTTTTTTTATTTTACTTATTAAGAAAATAGACCACGTGACCAGATTTTATACTGTTCAAAAGTACTGTTACTGTTACCGGTAAAAGTACAAAATGTTTGCCAAGTGGTTCACTTGCATCAACCTTAAGAATAACTCCCAGATGCCTTTCGGAAATTAACATCACGAAGAAAGTAATAAAATGTAATGTTAAAGATGTAATGCTAAGAACTGCTAGAGAAAGTCATTATCATATTACATTTATTGTTGTATTTTACAAGGGTATTAAAAGAGATATGATGATACGTGATGAGATTGGAAAGCAGTTTCTAGCCATAGATGTGTTTGCAATATCGATAAAATACCTGGTAGAGAATTTGATGAAAATTGTTAATCAGCGATTAGTAGGTAAATTGTTACCCACTGATATCGGCTTGGTATTAACAGCTCCTGCAATATGGTCAGATGCATCGAAACAGTTTATGAGGGAGGCAGCGATAAAAGTTTGTATCTTTATTTACTTAATAACTTTTACGGTCAGTCCATATTAAGTTTATTTGAAATAAGTTTCAATCTGTATGATTTAACAATTCGTTAATTATTTCTATACGTCTTCAATCAATGTAGTTTTATATGTTTTGCAATCTTAACCGTTTATTTAGGTCTGGTTATCAGCATATATGTGATATCTGGCTAATTTACACATAATTATCGTTACTACATTGTAACTTAAAGGGCGAAAACCTGCATTGTGAATGACTTTTTAAAGAGATGCATCAAGGCTTCATTCAAAATATTACTTTCTGTAAACATCTTACTTTTTAGCTCGACTATTCGATAAGAATAAGTAGAGCTATTGTAGTCACCCGAGCGTCGGCGTCGGCGTAACCATTTATGTTAAAGTTTTTGTATTACCTCAAATATTTTCAAAGTCCATTGACATATGGCTTTAAAAATTTGCACACTTGTTCACCATCATGACCCTAACCTGTAGACAGGAGGAGGTAACTCTATCAAGCATTTTGACAGAATTATGCCCCTTTTTCGACTTAGAATTTATGTTAAAGTTTTTGTAATACCTCAAGTATTTTCATAGTCCATTGACATATGGCTTTGAAACTTTGAATACTTGTTCACCATCATAACTCCAACCTGTAGACAGGAGGAGGTAACTCTATCAAGCATTTTGAAAGAATAATGCGCCTTTTTCGACTTAGAATTTACGTTACAGTTTTTGTTATACCTCAAATATTTTCATAGTCCATTGACATATGGCCTTAAAACTTTGCATGTACTTGTTGACCATCATGACCTCAACCTGTAAACATGAGGAGGTAACTCTATCAAGCATTTTGACAGAATTATGCCCCTTTTTCGACTTAGAATTTACGTTAAAGTTTTTGTAATACCACAAATATTTTCAAAGTTCATTGACATAAGGCTTTGAAACATGTTTTAAATTGTATACTCTTCTTCGAGAGCATAATAGAACTCTCTCCAAGGCCTATAACTGTAATATGGATTTAAAGAAAAAAAATGTCTTTTTCTTTACTGAGAAAATTTTACCTTTTAATCATGGCTTAAGAATAGTCGAGCGTTGCTGTCCTACAGACAGCTCTTGTTTCTATTTGTTACAGGCTGGCATTGACAATGACAATCTTAGAATCGCTCTGGAACCTGAAGCTGCTTCAATATATTGCCGCCATTTACCATTAGATGCACAAACTAGTGAGACTGATCTAGCAATATCAAATCTTCCCATTGGTACCAAATATATGGTTCTAGACGCAGGAGGTATTAAAAGTTTTAATACACTTTTTATAACAAACAGTAACACATTCAATGCGACACTATACCAATCAATTAGTAAGTGTCAACTGTTCGAATAACTTTACATTTTGTCTTATTTGTTTTCGATTTTATAATAAACATAACCTGAATTATTAATAACCCGCTTGACCTGTATACATATCTATAGATATTCTTCTGAATGTATCGGTAACATGCAGTTTAAAATAAAGAGCAGAGCAGTCTTTTTATATTTTAAGCAGTTTATAATTTTATCCTTAATGTAAGTCATTATCATTTATTGGCCCATGACCATCATAATAGCAAATCTTTTGATATATGTAAGTATTTTGGCTTATTTTACAGTGCAAAATGAGAATCATGTCACTTTAACCGTAATTTTAACTGATTACGAGTGTATTGAAACAAATCTCTCAATGATTTTCTAACCAGTCAATATAATTTTTGAATATAGCTATATCTTCGACCTTTGAATCGTCTTTTCTTGAATTAAACGTCATATGCATTTCTAGATTATTAACTAGAAGTATAGCTCTAACCAGCTGCTGAAAATGTATATCTATATTTATTCATGTGACTAAAGGTGGTACAATCGATATCACAGTACACGAGGTACAAGAATCTAACACGCTAAGGGAAGTAAGAGCAGCGAATGGCGGTGCTTGGGGTGGAACATTGGTGAACAAAGCATTTGAGGATTTCCTAAGGGAAATTGTTGGTGATATGGTGATCGAGTCTTTTAAAATGAAAGATACTGAAGATTGGCTTTACATGTCACTTCAATTTGAAGCAAAGAAGAGACAGATAGAAATCAAATCGCCTAGGTACATCACCTTTCGTTTACCATTATCTCTGATTGAATTATGTGAAAGGTTAAATGGAATGCATATTCGGGATGCAGTTGCTGCCTCAAAGTATGCTGAAATAGTTGATATAGTCCGTGATAAACTTAAACTCTCAAAAGTTGTTTTTTTCTATATGTTTGGTCAAACATTACAAAGAACAGTTGATCATGTTAAGTTTTTATTTAGAGAAACAACCATTAGAGAAGTTGATATCATTCTCATGGTTGGTGGGTTTTCAGAATCACAACTGCTGCAGCAAACTTTGAAAGAAGCATTTCCGAATAAAGAAATAGTGGTTCCATTTAACCCTTCATCGTGTGTACTTAGAGGTGCCTTGATGTATGGTCATACACCTTTGACGATTAATGGCAGAATTCTAAAGTATAAATATGGCGTAGATTCATGTATAGACTTTAAAGAAGCTCATCACCCAGATAAGAAGAAAATAAATACGGATGCCGGGCTTTGCTGTAAAGATAATTTTATAATATTTCTGGCGAAAAATACCGTTGTTAAATCAAATGATACGAACATCAAAAAACAATTTACGACAGTTAAAAAGTATCAAAAAGCAATGGCTTTTAATTGTTTCCTATCAGAGAAGACAAATCCAAGTTATGTTGATGAAGATGGATGTTTAAAAATAGGAAAAATTCAAATATATCTTGACAATCCTGACGACAGATTAGACCGCACTGTTAGTGTCTCGATGGCTTTTGGTGATACATAAATTACGGTGGATGCAGAGGATAAAAGAACCGGGAATAAAACAAGAGCAGTTATCGATTTTCTAGGATAAAGCCGCAATGTAAATAAAAAAATGATACAACATTCGTTGAAACCTAGAGCAAGGAAAATGTGTATAATGATAAGAATACATATTTGACTTTCAAGGATATCAAATATATTTTTCTTATATCAATTCATGGCAAGTTTTTCACGTGGCATGCTATGTTACGCCGCGAAAACTTTTTCTAACTCTCTAGAATTAAATCTTTTACTTAAACGTAGCTAGAAAATAATGATAGTCATATTATAAAAAAGAAAATAAATCTGTCTACTTTGAAAATGTACGAGGGTTGTTCGGGAAGTTCTGGGAATTTTGTCACATCTCCTATATTTTTTGTTTCTAAGACGTAATATTTTGCACATACTAAGATTAGCATATCACGGAACTATTCCTAAAAATTGAATAGAATCAGACAACAATAGCCGGAAATAGCAGTAACCATAGCAACACTATAACGCCGCACCGGAGCAGTCCGACTCTAAAGAAAGTTAAAACGCGCTACACTAATAATATTTCGTAATTTTGATAACGTAAAAAATGCGCGAAAACGCTGGTCAGCAGCAAAACGTCATGACGTCATTTCCTGAAAATATCATTACGATATTTTAATTCTCAACGGATCAACATCGTTTTAAAGTTGTTGCCCAGAGCCACTGAGTAAACAACATGACGTCGATAGGTAACGTTGAATTGCAAAGCATCGTGAAATTTTGTGTTGCGCTGGAAAAGTCTTCCACAGAAACAATGAAAATGATCAATTCTACAGGAAAATACAAGAAATGCAGTCCGGCTACAGTTAGAGATCAGCCTCTTGGGGTTTAAGATCTTAGAGCACCCTCCATACAGCCCGGACCTCGCTCCGATGGACTTCCGTGTGTTCCCGGAGCTCAAATCACAGCTGCGTGGAAAACGCTTTGACTCAGCTGACGATCTTGTTAAGCATACGCAAGCTATAGTCTCGTCCTTTACTGATAGCTGGTACGTGGAAACATACAATTAGTGGATCAGCCGAGACAGGAAATGCATTGAAAGTGCAGGTGACTACGTTGAAAAGGTGCGACGATCGATGGACTTTAACGTCGCATAACGTTGCAAATGACTTCGGCGTGATCCGGGTGTTTGTTATATGGTTATTTACTATCTTTATTATGTTTTAGTTTCTGTGTGTATGATGATGATATTTTCAGATACTGTACAGTATATATTAAAATAAATGCGTATATATTTATATTTACGCTAACCCGACTACAACGTGTGCTATAAAACAATTCTCAGAACTTCCCGAACAACCCTCGTATAGTTCATCGTTACATACAAACATTTGTTTACATACATTAATTTGATTAAATGTGACATTGATACATAACATGGTATTATTAATTTCATATATTTGTTAACATACAAATATATATATACAGGTATTTTGCTGTGATTAAAAATAATATATTCCAATGTAATTTTCTTTAAGATATCCATCTTTAATGAATAACTTTGAAAATCAAATGCATTTTTACAATAAATTGCTAATCTGTTTAAAATATTTAAACTTGCAGAATTTTACTACTTAATAAATTTTAACATACTAAGGCGTGTATGATTTTTTTTGGAATTAAATGTATTCTCATTGTAGTAAAAGCTTTATCATTACACTGATATAGCTGGCAGTTCTTATTATTTCTATCAATGTTTCAATATCTAACAGTTTTAATAAAAAGTTGATGAAACGAAAACACGTTATATAGGAAGAGTAGATCTTCAACATTGATATTTCATCTTTTTAGTTCTTAATCAATTTATATATATAGCTGACACTTTCGGGTTCGAATTACCAGATCGTTGAAAAAATTAAAAAGGGAACAAAATGTCTAAAGTAAGTATGAACAACGGTTAAAAGGATACCATGAACATTTAAAGCTACTTGTGTATATTTATGTTATAAAAACAAAACATCGCTTTTGGTCCGAGGATAGCACCAACCAGTCACTGTACTGAATACACACTGTACCTTAAAACTCTTGACTTTGTGTCAAGTGCCGTGTGGCAGCTGTAAAACGTTGCCCCGTACTTCAGTGTTGTTATATTCTGGTCCTTCGGGATCATTGATGTCGGCACGAATTAAGTACCGCTCAAACCGGTGCTAGGGGCGTGAGGGATGTTGCACTTATTCATTATCCCTCATGTACAGACTCAATCAAACCGAGTCTGCAATAATCATGTAATTATGTTGCGATTAATTCTTCCGAGGGATCAATTTGTTTCCAGATTTTTACTACTTTGCTCTACCTATGTTGTGCTTTGTTTCAAAGATCTCACATTTCATAATCATGGTGAAACATTTTCTCCCTGCAGGAAATATTGTTAATCTCAATCAGCTACCAAGTTTACTAAGCTGAAGGAGAATCATGTTTAAAACAGTAAGACCTATGAGCAGGTTTTACGTTAACAAAATGTACAATTCGCAAAATAAATTAATTATTTGACTTTAATTTACATTGTAATTATATGACATATGAAGCTTGATTAAAATGTCTTCCTGTGTAGCAAAAATACTTCAACGCAATATAACCTCTAGTTTTAAAAAAGGAATGCCGAACGGTTAGGTTGTCGTTTCTGCGTCATCTGGATTTATGTGACGATCTTTGTCTTCACGGACAATCCCCGATGCTTTTTGATAGGTTCTACTGAAAAAAAAGAATGTTGTTTGACTGTTTATCTATAGATAAAAGTTATTAAATTGGAGTGCCTCTTAAACAAAAGATTTTCATGTTAAACTATGAATATAATGCTTCATACAATTTAAACTTTTAAACTGTTGACTAAAACCTAGCCCTTGCAAACTAAAATGTCAGAGACGTAGTATGATTTTGTCATCGCCCATATCGTGAACATTTTAAAAATGCATTACTATTCAATTAATAAGTAGTCATTCCGTTCAATGTTATAATTGCGTAGTCATTCTTCAATATGTCAAAATGAAATAAGTAATGTCATAATATCTTGTAAGCGTATTTTGAATGATATTGGATCAATGCCAATTTTACTACAGATGAATAATTTTAACCGAATGACATTTGTGGTTCAGAAACTCTGATAAAAAAAAAAAACACAATGTATAGTATTATGTGAGTGTTTCTTTTCGCTGAATTACCATTATATTACAAACGATTGATCATTTAGTTGTAAGTGATGAAAAAAATCCAATCAGTTTAATCTTTGTCTTTTCTGTAAAAGCATGATAGGATTAATATTTTGCTATTTCTATAATTGGTTGCTACTGTTGTTTGCAAGTGATATAATTGCCGTTTTCATATTTTGTTAACATAATTTGGCATTTGAATAGTCTCTCATTGTATAACTTTCAATAAACCATCACTTCCGATGCCGCTTTCACACAGGAGTTTTTTTGACAACTAAAATTGCTTTCAGTTTATTCCCTTACACTATTGTAAATGAATAAGTATTGTTATTATGTAAAATGACCAAAAAATAAAAAGGAAAGTTTTGCAACTCAAACCAGGCAAAAATCTAACAAAAATGGATTTTAAATTTATATCTGAGCATAATAATTTCTTATTTTTTACCCTAGTGGAACATGTTTGAACTAATCTTTAAAATTAGCTGCTTCGATTCCTTGTCTTTTCTTTTTGTTTAACCTAAAACATTGCTAGGTGACTGCATAGCTTTGTAAGTTTTTCTAATAGTAATGATGTTGCATATCACCCGATATGATGTCACTTGTGTCAAAGAAACAAAACATAGGATTTATCACATTATTTAAACATAAAAGGATATGTTTCCTGCTTTTTCATTTGTCTTTTCACGTCTTGACTGTGATATGCAGGCATCATAACCTATTGCACATTCCAGTACCGTAAGCCAAACCCAGCCTGTAAAAATTCAATATTGCCGTTTAGGGTTTCCGTTTTTCTTTCACTCTTTCTATCTCGAGTACACAGATCAATTTTCTAGTACATGACATGCGATTTATATAATTATAATGGGCAAAATAACACGATATCAAGTATTTCTTAAAGCTGTTAAATATATTGTCGTATAAGAGGATATAAAGTTCTCATTAAAAACGTAAATGAGTCATTACTTAAATAGTGGCAGTGGTACAAATCAGAAATTTTATTGCAAGACGAAAAGCGTGGCAAATAAATATACAAAACTTGAATGATTTTATTTTAAAAAAATAAAACGATCTGACAATTTATGACATCGAATAGTGTATGCTTTCCAAAATGTTAGATATTATGACATGAAAATAATGTTTCCCTTAAAAATTGAAATCCATACAATGAATGGGGTAGGTGGGGTAAATTACACCTTCACTTTAAAGTCATGTGGCATTTTTTATGGGTATTTTGTTTTTAATACTTGAAGACCTCACGTGTTCATTCTAGCCTTATTAAAGGTATGGACCGGCACCTGTGTGGAACCACCGATCATCCGTCAGCTATGTTTATATCTTTCATATATGAAAGAAGTTCTTTGGAGATTAAAACCAAAAGCAGAGAGGAGGGGCAAATGGTTCGATGTCGGGGACCTCAACAACGCAGTTATATCACATAAAATTCTCATATATTTTTATAATGAACAAAATACAGAACCCATATTACATATTATAAATATAAAAAAAATGCGAGCATTACTTAATTCTTCCTGGTTTTATTCTTCTGATAACCCACTGCGCCCGTTTTTGGTTTAGACTTTTTATAGTACAAAAAATGTATTTTATCACTTACTGGAAGTTCACTTATTTAGTGAACATGGTGTCATTCGATTTTACGACTTGAAGTTCTTTATAAGGCTGCATCTCGCCATATGAATAAACAGATCTGCAGAAGACAAACTACTTAATAGAATGATATAAAACAACATATCAACATACTTTAAAACAATATGAAAATTCATAATTGAAATGTCAAATTGCATTGTTTTATACAAATGTGGTTGAATATACAATTATCATCACTATATTTCTACTTACATGTTTAATCTTTTTTCTGCTATTTTGAAATGTTGTTTTATATAGAACTTCTGTACAAAAACCTTTTTTAAATTGAAATTATCTTCTGCTTTAAAAGGCTGTCGTACATTTCGTTTTAATATCAGTATAGCCTTCTTTTTGTACATTAAATGCATATATATATAAAATATATAGAAATATGACCCAACAGAGAAAAGTGTTTTTTCCTTCATTGAAAGATGATTGGTGTACAATTGGAACATTTTTCGGAAGTATTTCAGACATAATTAAAAATAAAGAAAGGTATGATTTGGATAATTATTCTTATAAAATGTTGCTTGATAAATGCTAATAAATGATGATATTAATACTTTATTCCAGAACATTCTTCATCTGCTATACTTGTATAAATATACGTAATACCGGCTGGTTATTATGTCTGATACTAAATACTCTTAACGTAATTATTTATGGCATTAAAGACCTTCTATTATAGACCAATTCAAACTATTTTGAGTTCTCTTCTGTGTGAAACGTCACCTTCATTTCTCTTGGAACTTACAAATAACTATTGTTACTAAGTTTCCTTGAGCATTAAGTGGAGGTTTTGTGATTTAGTTATTTTACGGTGGGCAAAATTAATGAGTTATGACCGTTGTTGATGTAGATGTGTTGCATGTGTGTGTTTTTTATTTGTTTGTTTTGTATATGTGAAAATAGAGAAATACTCGTCTGTTTACAACTACATGTATATCATTAGTTTTTACAATTCAAATATCATTGGCCCTTAGGTGGTATAACGTTTTCTATTACTGGATCCCTTGATTTGCGAAAACAATACTGATACACAAAATATAACATAGTTATAGCTTGTCATGATTTTGTGTCTTCATTATTCCTTCGTGTTACAAGAAAGAAATGTCAAAATTTAATAACATTGCAACCCTTTATGTTTTATGCACCGTCGAATTGTAACTATGATCAATCCGAAAGGAAACTCTTAGAATTTGACATTCGGACTGCAAATCCCTGTCATATGGTAGAATTCCCCGCTACATGCTACTACTGGAACTAATCTACTGCTATCGCGGCACAAAAATCAGCATTAGTATTGACTCTGTCGAGCCGGAACTGATGGATGGTTAATTTCAGCTTATTTCCATGTTATACGCACTGCATCAGGATAGGAGGCCTTGATAACAATTGACGGGTGTACATTATGAGCATATACATCATCCCCTTTACTCACGATTATTAAATAAAATATGTGGCCTAAGTACGTTTTATATATCAAACTTAACTGTATTTGGTTGGAGGTGTTATACATTTATTTCTTTATTATAACTAAATATGAAAGTATGATGACGATATTGACAAAACCTGTCATTTAATGTATGCATGTTACTGAAAAATCATGAAAAATGTAAGTAAATATGAATTAATGCAACATGAAATGAATATAACATCACGACAAAATATTATAATCATGGTATGCTAAATATGACAGAACAAGTGACAAGGATATTAAAGTTTATTATCCCTCACTTCTTGTGTAATGTGAATTTCCTATTTTTTTTTTTAAATGCGTTTATTTAAGGTCGCCGCCGGAAAGCCCATATGGGCGACCGTACACTCAAGTCGGGCCATCTTAGAGCGTCCTGCCGAGATTTTTTCGTCGATTTGTTTCCAGCTTTATTGGTGGAGGAAGACCCCAGGTGCCCCTCCGGGCATTATTTCAGGCACGAGCGGGCACCTGGGTAGAACCACCGACCTTCCGTAAGCCAGCTGGATGACTTCTCCACATGAAAGATTTCGACCCGAGTGAGGATCGAACCTACAGCGGTGAGGGACCTGTGATTTCAAGTCAGCGACCTTAACCACTCGGCCACGGAGGCCCCCTGAATTTTTAAATTATATATAGTAATAATACATGCAATATATTTGCTACCATCCATAAATCAAAAACTGTCCTTTTTCTGGAGAAACGGAAATATGTTCGGATATACATGAATATATGGTTCAAAATTTTTACTTTGAAATTGTTGTATCATTGTTTATCATTTTCGTCCATTTCGGTCTATCTTTAACTAAACTGTAGAACATCTGTGTTACTTCATCAAATCAAAGAGACGTTTGTTTTCCAGGCAATGCAGTAAATAAATAAGGACGGTGGTCTTTTCATTCTGAATAATTGCCGGGTGTTTGTAGCTACTCAACGGAACTTGTCGCATCAAATAATAAACAACACCTGAGGATTTCCTGCTTGAATGCGCATGCGCAATATAGAGGCTATTTTTAGCTCACATGACGTAAAAACCAAGCAATGTGCGCATACATATGACAAAAGGGTATAAAATCTATTCATATAATAAAACATCTTACCATCATTTATCGGTACTTAATTATATCCTAAATGAAAAGGTCCGAAAAGCTGTCAAAGCAAGAAAATGTACTTCTTTTTTCAAACTCGTATTCCATTAAAATTAAAATAAAATATAATCGTCATGTGACGTCAATAAACCTATTGACGTCATGGAAATTATTTCACCGCTCATAGTAGTTCAACATGTTTTTCATCTATTTTCCTTCAATTACCATGTTAGATATCAACGTTTCGTACCTTGTAGTACATTAATGCACATTTTATCGTTAAATGCCGTGTAATTAATCACTCAGTGCCTTACGGCCTTTGTGATTATATTACTGCACATTTGAACATTAATGTGCATTATTCTACAACAATGCACTCAAAACTGATATCTATTTCCTAAACAAAATGTCAAATGTTAGACAATATGTATAGATGTATCTTCTTGTTTAATAATTCATGGAGGTTTTAAAAATATGACATCAAGGCAAGACAAGGTTTAAGGTCTTAGTTCAGTATGTTGCAATAATTTCAATGGTGATCAAAACGTGGGTCAGGAAGACTACATTGAGGTATGTTTCTCATTTAAAAAAATTGAGATGAATTGAATTCAGAACTATTTAGAGCTCCAAACCACCATCATTAAGAGGTGCGTTTTTCACTGGCTTCATCAGGTGTAAAGAAATGTCATTCAACTTGCAACTGCAAACTCTCTTTTAAGAGGGATAAGTTCCTTTTTATTAAAGCTGATGACCCCATCTACAGAGCACGTGCGACTCACTCCCACCAAGTTAGAATCTAAAACTGCATAGTTATAGAGATTTTAGTCGTAGTAGAATACCGATGTACGTGTGTTATATGAATGTATAAAAAATGTGGAAAATACCCTTTTCCCTATTTTTTTTTATTCTGGGTATGTAATTTTGTAAGGTACATTTAAATGTAATTAAATGTTTATCTCTAATATATGTACATATTTTATAGATTTAAGAATTTTACTGTGGAGAAATTATAATAAAACCATCGACATAAATTCTTTCATTATTTTTCAAGTAAAATTAAATAAATCTATCCGGCATTTGAAATATTATTGTTCTCGTTTCAATTTCTGTTTAGCGAGTTTAAATAAAATTTAAAAAATGTTTGATATAGTTAATTGTGGTCGATTCTTTTTTGCTTTTTTAATATCATTGTAAAAATACAATATATCAATTAATTAACAGTTTTATGTTATGTTCACACCTTTTATCCCTTAATTATCTATTTCTATACAAATCAAAGCACAGAAGGCGCTGAATTTGTTTGGGTCTCAGAATGTAAGAAAGGTACATGTTGTGAGATTATATGTATAGTGCCACCAATGCTTTCCAGCGTTTTAATTGTAGTAAATTGGCTATAAGACTAATTGCAACACTGATATTCAATCCAATGTTTATTTGACTTAAACAATTTGAAAAAAAAATGTGTTGCCTTTACTGGGATTTGAACTCCAGACTTCTCGCTTCCTAAGCGAGCGCGAAAACCCTTCAGCCACGGTGAACGGCCTGAAGAAAACCATATTATTCTAAATTAGGGCTTGTAACGACTTTAACTGTTGTTTAACACAGATGTAAATAATCCTGGAGCTTACTACAAGGATGATTATTTATAAAGAATCAAAGGGCTGCAAGTTCTGTGGTATTTTCTGATCTTTGCAATCTAAATCGTACTGTATATCTGTATGTATTTCCCTGTATAAGTTTATTTTTATGTATTATAATTCATTTTGCAAGGCACCAGAGTTTGATACATACGGAATTCTGCATAACTAGAGTTGCATCAAAATATCATTTATGTTCATTTTTTACGACAGCTACACTTTATCCTTGCATATCATGGCTACTTCCTTTACAAAGACACTTAAAAAAGAATTTAAAAAAAAGTTTCCTCGACTGGGATTTGAACTCCAGACCTCTCACTCACTAAGCGAGCGCGTTACCTCTGCACCACGGACAATGTCTGAATAACATCAAGTCATTCTAAATTTAGAACTTCCATTGCATTTCGGGTTTGTAATCCTTATAAATTTTGAGGTATTTTGTTCAGGATGAACCTGTTGTTTAAAATTGAAGTAGATAATTTAGCGAAAATCTTCTCGCCCAAACAGTCCGACATATTGAATCTATATATTCCACTACTCGGTTGTGTAGTATTCGGTAATCGACACCGCTAAAAATAGTATTTTCATTGATAAAATCATATTCATCCGCGTAATTTGTGATTGTGCATTTATTGACAATTCTAAAAGCCAACGCTATTTTTAAACTTTGAATGCGTTGTAATTTGTTGGATACTTGTAACAAAATAAAAATATTTTTTTCTTTTAAATCGCTAGTTTTAAGCTGTTTTGAGAACTATTTGTTGTTAGGTTTGTCGCAAACTTCTGTGTCAGAGATTGAATGTCCGCTTTGTATTTACTTATTTTCGATCAGAAAATACAATAAAACAATATTTGAAATCTTCGACCATTCGGGAATTATTTTGCTTGAAAATTAATGTGCCTGTCTTTGACCATCTTTACACAGTGATCTCCCCTGAATTTTTCGGCGTTAGTGTACATATAAAGGGAAGTAACCGCTTCAAAAAAGTGGACTACTTTCGGCATTTGCAATTAACAGCATTAGACTCTGAAATTTCGCTACCATTATTTGTTTGGTCTGACGACCCAAACAAAAAAAATGACCACGGTATACATGTATACCCATGAATGACACTCAAGATTATGTACAATATGACAGCTACATAGTTTGCAACAAGGGGTATGATATATGTAAAGTTCACAGAAATGAAACACTACAAACAAAGAAGTTTTCAAATTTTATTTCCGTGTTTTATTATTCAGTACAGAATGACTGCAAACAATACTTGTAATAACTACCACATCATTCTTCATAACACAAGTCTCACTGATTTTTCAAGTGTAAAAACATAGTTCAGTAACTTTTTCCATGAAACTCTGTCAATTAACAAATTATTGAGAGATCACTTAAAAAGAAAAAAGTTTTACTAACAACTGGGACATGTTAGGTGTAGATAACTCATCCATTTCAAATCTAAATATAGAAATTTCAGTGACTTTACACAGTGGTCAACTTATTCAATGAAAAATCAGAAATATCTGAGAAGTCTAAGAACTTTAGTCAAAATCGGGCAAGTAGTTTTATTCAAAAACATTCTTCTATTTCTGTATAAGGAAAACTGAAAAATCCTTATATGGCGCCTTAATTTATTGTTTTACAGAAAAGATTGTTTGAAAAAAAAGAAATGGATAGATGGATCTGCACACAAAGGAAACTTTAGTACTTTGTTTATACTGTATAGACGTTGATCCAATTTAATGAACAAGTCCACCAAATGCATGCTCGACTTTTCTCAGTGGTTGATGGTAAAATACAAGACTAACTTGAAAAAGGGCCATTAGCTTGACAAAATGCTCGACAGAATTACCAGTTCATGTCTTGTGGTTGGAGTCATGATGGTGATCAAGTCTGCAGTTTCAAAGCAATATGTCTAAGGACTAAGAAAATATTTGAGGTGGTATACAAACTTGAACATGTTTTTAAGAACAAAAGAGGCATAATTTTGACTAAATGCTTTATATAGTTACCACCTCCTGCCAACAGGTTGAATTCGTTATGTTGAACAAGTGTGCAAAGTTTCACAGCAGTATCTAAAAGGACTTAGAGAAAAATTTGAGATGGTAAAAGAAAAAGTTGGAGGTGGTACACAAACTTAACATGTCTTCCAAGACTGTCTAGCCCACATGCTTGTATTTCTATTACATACAATTTGAAAACCGACAGAGTGTAAACTGTAAATGTATAGATATTTTTCAACATTCTACAACGAATTGCAAAGGTATAGTCCAGACTATCTAATATGAACTCATTTTATCAGCTTTTACCTTGTAATTAGAAACGGGGAGATACATCAGCCTAAATACATGACACAGATATGAGTGCTGTTCAGTGATAATCATTTATGACCAGAAATATACATATGAAGTTTCAAGTTTGTATCTTTAATAGTTTCAGAGATTTGCAAAACTTGCATGTAAATCTTAACCAAGAAAAGGAGATCGCTTTAGTACAAAAAGAAGCATAATTCAGTCAATATACATGGCAGAGTAATGGATCTTGAGATGTGACCTTGAATTATGACCCTAAGTACATGTGTCAAGTTTTAAGTAAATTATCTATGATAGACCTTTAACCAAAATTTGTAAGTTTCAAATGGGCATAATTCTGCAAATATTGCAGGCAGAGTTATGATATTTTGCAAACTGAAACAGTGATACTATAAATAAGTATTGTAAGTTTCAATTGAATATCTCAAGTAATAATCGAGATATTTGACTTTACAAAAAACTTTAACCAACGCAGAGACTCGGACATGGATGCCGTGGCGACTGCAATAGCATATTCTTCCAACAGTCGAGCTAAAAATCATTAAAGGGCCATAGCTCTTGCAAAATTCACTGAACTAGAAAATGCAGATAATATGCACAACTAGATTTGATACTAATTATTCCTGTAAAGTTTGAATGAAATCCCATTAGTAGTTTTCAAAAAGTTGTCCAGAAAAGATTTGTGACAGATGTACAAAAAGACAGATGTACTTATACTTATGTGACTTTTCTTTAGATCTTTAAGCAATTTTAGTCACACAACGACGTTCACTCTTCTACTTTTTAACCTTTTTAATTAAAGTGCTCTTTTTAAAAACTTTTCTTTTGGAATTAACTAAAAACTGACAAAATTTGCTAAAATTCTATGAGAAATATTATATTATATCGTCGATTAAGTGAAATGATTTAAAATTTAATCGAATTATGTCCATGTCCCTTTCTTGGATAGATCTGTATTAAACGTTGCATGACAACTGAAAGTGAAGTAACAATAAAAAATGAAAGAAAGTAAAGTATCGGCATGTTGCACGGTGAAAGTTTCTGCGAAAAATGCATTAAAAAGGTACCGATAGTTTAACTTAATGCATAATTTTTACCCCAGTACAATTAAAATAAATATATCAACATATCGACATAATGCCTGAATAAAATTGATATAAAAACAAACAGAACAATAACGCGGGGCTAACTTGCACTCGGCTAGATTTAGCGGAGGGTGTAGTAGTTGGGGTACAGGTTTGGCAACATTTCGCAGTATCGTTTGTGCAATGACTCTGAGTACAGTCAGTATATTCATCACCCCAAGGACAATCTGAAATAAACAATAGTCAACAAAACATAATAGCTTGATTTACCTATAATATCTTTTTAAACTCTATAGCAATTTTTAATAACATTAGTTTACATTTCAGTTGTAAAGTTTATTTACAACTTGTCGCAAACACGGCATTAGGATGTGATAAATAGAGGTTACTGAATGAGTGTAGTTTAATACTAAATTTATTAAACTCGTTGAATAAAATCATATTATGCGAGCCTCTGTCGAGCATAATATTGTTTTATTCAACGACTTTAATAAATTTAGTATTGAATCTACACGAATATAATATTCTATTTATCACATATATAAAATAAGAACAGTAAACTGTTAAAATGAGTAATTTTTCAATGACGCGCCTATAGTGTAACGCTTACATTAGCGCATTTTAACGCTATGGATATATACAGCGCAAATGACGTCACGTATTTGCATATTTTTTGATGTGACGATTGTAAGATCTGCTTACATGCATTTGCGTTCAGATTATGTATTGTAATCTTTTTTTCTTCTTTTTTTTTGTGAACAAGGAGTTTTGCTCAAGTCTGAAAAATATAGATAAAATTAACATTTTGTTCTGTAACGTTTATTTATATTGAATGATTATACGAGAATATTTACCTTACCTTAAATGAGAGGACACAAATATGGATATATGTAATTATTTCTAATGGTAAACATGTGCAAATATTTTGACGTGACGTCATTTTCATTACATAATCATAGAGTTATGACGCACACTAAAACGTTATAGCGTTTTACTAATATAGGCCTGTCAATGAAAACTGATTCTTTTTCACTCCGAACGATCTTTATTTTTGGTATATGATAAATAGAATATTAAATTCGTGTAAGCTCATTACTTAATCTATTGAACTCGTTGAATAAATAATGTCAGAGGCTCGTTTAATATTATATAGAGAATATTCAAGATTTTTTTCTATAGAAACAGGAGTGTTATGAAGATAACAATTTCCTCACTTGCGGTAGCCAAGAGTGAAATATGATAATTATTTTCGTGAACACGAGAATTTCATATGTCACTCGTGGCTGCGCCAACCGTGAAATATACCTTTTGTTCCTCATTCGGTGACATATATTCAGATCTTACACTGAACTAAACAAATGTTCTTTTCATTATATGCAAAGAAACGTTTAAAAGGCATTTTAACCTAATGTTAAATGGAAAGTGTGCCAAATAATAATACAACGTGAAGTCATATACGACATCACGTCAGTAAGTTTGTTTTCCTCCCACAAGATGAAAATAAATCCTTTATTCATAAGAAAAACTTGAATTATCTGTTTATTATATACATTTTGCTCTTGTGACATTACAATTTGAAAGTCTTTCCCTTGAATTTTGTATTCTGACAGAATTTAGAAAAAACGTGTTCCAGCAAGACACCAGTGAAAAAACGGAACATTACTTCACAGTGAAACATATTTTTTTCACAGTGAAAATATGGAAAAGGAAAGACACATTTTATTTCATCAATATTTCTCAATATTCTCAAGTATATAATAAAATTTTATACAACTCGTTCAATAAATTCAGTTATTCAATTTGATGTTTACAATACGAAGAATGCTGTCACAACACGACACCTTAGTGAAGCAAGAGGTTAACTCTCTTTTAATATCAATTGGAGTTAATCCGTTTCAGCACTAAGGTGATGATACGTTGTGTCAAGTGTTTGAACCTTATTTTAGAGATTGTGTAATCCTCATTTTTAGAAAGTTTCAAACACTATTCGACGGTCTAGTGCTATAAGGGCGTAAGTGGTACTTACGCCATTTTTAATGTTTTCACGCCATTCGAAGCGAAACGTTATCGCGCACCTGCTGACAACATATCTTTACCCTAGCATTTTAGTTGGCTTCAATATCGAATAATGATTGGAAGGGCGTAAGTGCATCGAGTTCAAAAGGACAATTTTATAAGGGCGTAACTACACCGTAACTACACCGTACTCAAATTTTATAAGAGCCAAAGTAGTAGTTACGCCCTTTTAAGATTTTGATACGTTGGTTCAAACAGATAGTCAGATAGTCACACTTACGCACGTTGGGACTTTATGTCACGAGTCAGGGACATACCTAACTAGGCGTACTCCTGTACGCTCGTGCGTAGAAAATCAATCTTGTATTCCGAAAAATCACATGCGCTAAAAGTTCTAAACTAGAAATGTGTCCATAGTACACCGTCACACGGGTGCCCCGACCGCGCCACTGTTCTGTCAATCTTATGACCCTAGGTCAAATATTTTTTTTTACTAAGTAAAGGGCAAGAACTTTACAAATAATGAATTTATCCACAAGCAAACACCACGGTGCATAATTACACATGCTGACCAACATTCTTGTAAACTTTCAGGCCAACAAGTGAAATACTTTTTGAGCTATTCATGAACAGGTTGAAAATTGCAAATTTATACTACTGTAAGTCAAGGGCAATAACTCTAACAAAAATGAAAAAAAATCCATATGCAAAGTCCAAGGTCCATAGCTTCACAGTGATGTGAATCATTATTCCTGTAATTTAGTGATGTTGATCATTATTCCAGTAAAGTTGGTTGATTCTAACTCAAGCACTCAAGGAACAAATAACAACATAATGAAACGGTTTTTACTAAGTCAAGAGCAACCTTCCCGTAAGGTTTAATGACCCTATGTCAAATCTTATTTGAGTTACATGCGACACAAGTTGAAAATTGCAAAAATTTTCTAAGTCAAGGGCAGTAACTCTAAAGATACTAAATAAATCCAGACGAAAATACCCAGGTGCACAACTACACATGCCGGTCAACATTCCTATAAAGTTTTATGACTCTAGGTCAAATACTTTTTGAGTTTAGTGCGACACAAAAGAGAACGGACGGACAGAAGGACGGACGGATGGACGGACGGACAAGGGTAAATCTAAATGCCCGCCACTAATGTGGAGGCACAAAAAGTGATAAAAACAGAGGGGGTAGATTGGTCGGGGCAACATATATTCATATAGGCCTACTAACTTTTTATCACTATATAAAAATTCATAACATATACACTATTAATTAATATCTTTTCAAATGATCTATATTGCGATATCTTAATATACAGATTCAGCGCAGAAAATTTACGAAAAGCTTAAGGTGCCTGGTTCATTACCGATTCATGACCAAGATAATGCCCGTGCGTTGGCGGCATATGTTTTGCGCATCGTGCTTCTTATTCGGCGAGCAGGTCGCCCGCAGTAATTTTTCCAAAACCCTTTATATACCGTATATGGTATAGAGTGAAAAAATCAACAAAGGGCCATAATTCTGTTAAATTTGGTCGCAGCAAAAATTCCTTCCTTTACTGCCATCTACACATTAAGGTTGTTCATCCCTGGAAGTTTAAGCAAAATCAGCCATCCGGTTTAAGAGGAGTTGCGTTCACAAAATTTCTCCATAGTATAAAGTGAAAAAATCAAATAAGGGCCATAATTCTGTTAAATTTGGTCGCAGCGAAAATTCCTTCCTTTTCTACAATCTACACATTAAGGTCGTTCATCCCTGGAAGTTTAAGCAAAATCTGCCATCCGGTTTAAAAGGAGTTGCGTTCACAAGATTTCGGGACGTACGGACAGAGCTACATAATGGGGTTTTCTTTTGTTCTTTTCAACCCCACAATGCAGAAAATAACCCCACAAGAGAAACGGAATGAATGACATTAAAGACATCTATTGTTATGAGAACAATAGACCAAACCCCATAATGTAGCTCTGGTTTGTACGGACGGACAAGTGCAACGCTACATGCCCCCCACTTTGTGGGGGCATAACCACAATATTAACTTTGGTAAGTTATTTCTATTTCGATTTTTCTGTTAATTCTTATGCAAATGTTCCCTATTAAAAAGTATTCATTATTGGACGAAGGTATGTTCGTCTTTCTTTGATTTATACAGAATTTATTTTAGTTTGATTGTGAAGGAAGCTATAAAATATTTGTTTTTCTTTGGTTCATATAGATGAGCTAAAATATCAATAAATGCACATACATTCTTTGGTATACACTCAGTTATTGAATTTGGTTGCATGATATCACTTGTTTCAACATCTTAATATTATTTATTAATTCTTAATTCTAAAGATATGTGAGAAGTTAGAACACATAAGTCAACAAACATACTTTAAATAGCAAACATTCACATGAAGGTTGTCCATTACCGCATATTGCTAACTCATTGAACATATAAAAAAGCTTTAAAGCTAACTCAATGAGTTAATGATTTTTGCATGTAGTAAATATAAGGCTACTGTCACATCATCTCATCCATGTGTTGTGAAAATTTTAATGATATCACCTGACCTTCATACAGTTTTTGATGATTTAAAATAAAATAACTGTTAGTCATGATTTATTTATATCTACTTTAAAGTCTTTTTATTTCAATAACAGGGCAATGATGACCATAGATCACACACCATTGTCGGGAAAAGGTCAGCATTCTTTATAAACGTAGGTAATCGGGTGTATCAATTTTGTCAAAACTATATAATTTGTGACATATTTGTATTCGGATGCTTTAAAAGAAACAGCCTAATATCCAGTCTCTCAGAATTGTTTCTCATTGCAGGACTTAAATAACTATTAATATTCCTATATGAGTCCATATAAACTTAAGTCACCCCTGGTGCATGATAAATTTTGACCATCTTGTCCGTGATTTATCAAATATTTGTAGAGTATTTCAAGGTTATGGTGATACATAAATAATGTCTATTATCCGGTTACTGTAGTTTTAGAGAATACAGATTTATGTAAAGTCAGCGTAAAATAAGTGATACCCATTTCAAAGCCATTTTAACTTCAGGAGCATGATACAATTTTATGCATTTAGTTTAACACTATAGAAGAAGTTTTTATTGTGTTTTCCCTCACAAGTCTATAAACCTTGGTGGCTCTATGAGCAAGATTCATTCAATATGTTAAAGACACAAGATGATATGCTTAGTATCTATGCTCTATGCATTCTGCTTTTTTGAGAAGACTTTTTAAACATTTTTACTATGTAAAAACTATGTAACTAAGTGACGAAAATAGCGTTTTATGTAACATTTTAAATGTCTTCTCTACTTGACAATGTTATACCCGTATGCTGAATATCTATGTTCTAGGCATTGTAGTTCTCCAAAAGAGGACTTACATGTGATTTCCTAAATAAGTCATTCAAAACTAAGTGTCCCTCGTGGCAGGCATTTTAATCATGCCCCTGCACTCTAAAATGGCTTTCCCTGGTATGTTACTTATGTTTGCATAGACTTAAAACTGTCTTAAAAAATCTTCTCCGAAACTGAAGTTCCTAGATCAGAAAAATTATCATGAAACATCACTTTGTGATACTCTATAGAAATTATGAATTATTGTCATAGGACCAAATCACTAAGTGTATAGGGACTCCTATAGGAATATAGCTAACCGTATATGAGTCGTCTTGTGTGAAACAGTCTGAGTACCTAGATATTGGGCATGTGTCTTTTGAAGTGAACATTTACAAAGAATTAAATCATAACTGTATGTGTTGAAAAAAATTGATACTCCTAACAAGATCTTATCTTACTTCTGTATTAAAGAGTTATGGCAATTTTCCTGCAGTGGATCTTAGGTGAGTGGTCTAGGATTGTTTAATTGGGAACATGAAATTTAAATAATATTTGATAGATGGTTAATAGTTTATATTTCAAATCATCAGCTACTATATGTGGGTTAAGCGATACTGTTGATATACTTTTTTCACTATACATATACACAAATACACTATACATCATATTATGTTTCAGTCGCCTTAATTTTATTTTGTATCTTTTGAAAATACCATGTCTAGATATGTTATTCTATAAACAGTGCTAATTAAATTATACTTTATTACAATGACATGAAAGAACATATAACTTGAATTGTACTGTAACTAACAAACATTCAGCAAAACTATGATATCTAATGCAAAATTCATTTTTCTCATTGTGTTGGCTTTAGCGCGATTTTTATATTTTCGTAAAGAAATTGTGAAGGAATTAATTGTAATTGTAAAGAAGACAATATTTAACGCATGTTTTGTTGATGTATATTTAGTCTACTATTGTACAATAAACAGATAATATTGAGAATATTGAAACAAGTTATATCTTACAAACAAATTATATAACCGACTGTAAACACATGACTGTGTTTGCATTTACTGATATTTTAGCAAACCCTCTAGACCTGAATGAAGACAAAAATCCTACAAAAAAAAACAAAAAAAAAAAACTTCTTAACAGTGAATATTTTCCTAAGAATCCATAGAAAGTTTAACAAAAAGCAAAGATATACAATTAATTAAAAAAAACTTCGTTGTTTTTGTTTTTCAATATTCAGATAAACTTACCGCACCCACTTTGAAAAATATAAAATCTACATATTTTATGTTTACAATAAACACATAGTGTTAATTAAATATCAAATACACTGTAAGAAACTAAGAAACTTTTTTGTTTTTTAAAGACCTATCAGAAAACCATGTTAGAGAAATATGCAAATATTGGCACTTTTTCTTTAATATTTTAAAGAGACTCTTGGATAAATAACTTAAAAAGCTTGACTTGCACTGTGGTTTACATATAATTTGATTATTATTGATATGTTTATTAATAAACACTTTTTATTAGTATATGCATAATTTGTGATACAAATTATATGACAAAATAGATATATCAGTTTTGCATACATTCGGCGGCCATATTGGACGCCATCTTGAATTCTGAAGAGGTATGAATTTTTGTAAAGGAGACACTTTATACATGCTTTAGTGTTATTTTCATGTCTGTACAAAAACTTTCACTGAATGAGCTATTATGTACGTCCAATATATATGGCGGCCATTTTGAAAATGGCGGCCATCTTGGATGAGCAGAGATATTTTTGGACCCACTTCATTTTTGGAATCTCTATAGTCTAAAGATGATTTCCTAAAAGATTCATGCTTGTATCACAATTTGCACTATTTTGACAGGAGAGACCTTATTTCCCGCTCCACTAATTGTAACAATTTACAACAGTTGCTACTTATGAAGGTGCAAATTGACGGTCTTTCCCGAGAGAGCATTGGGGCAGTGTACCTCGCAATAAAAACGCAAGCTTAAATGTGAATAAACCCATGTTTGTCCGAGAATCACACTGTTAGCTGTGGCGTATGTGCTAGTGGACTAACGTAAAATTGGCGTATGTGCTGGACTAACGTAAAATTGGCAATTGCTGTCCAGCCGCCCCGGCTTTTCTGAAGGAAGCAAGGCTCTGTACCCAAACGTGAGGCATTGTTTGACCCTTTTAGTGGTCATGCCAGTTCTCGGAAACAACTGAACTAAAACATCAGAAGTACGTACTGTAAACACTGAGCGTATGTCTTGTCTAGGTCTCATAAATGTTTAAATGGGCGAGTAGACAACTTTGCATACCAAAGAAACAGACGTCTAGTGTTTGTTTTAGTTAGTTTGTTTGTTTATTTTATTTATTTTTATTTCGTTTAAAATTTATTGAATATGGGAGATTTGTTACTATAACATCAGTTTGATGGTTGCAAAATAACAAATTTGTGCTGCAAAAATATCAATTATAAATATTAGAAAAGTTTTATGGTATATATAACGCACTTGTTCATTTTACATATTTTAAAATTGATAAAAAGAGTTTGAAATCATCACCAATATGTTGTCAATATAGCCTCTAGATAGTCATGAAATGCCAGGATATCGCTTCTTCTTTCAAAAAATTCTCGGGGGAGCATGCCCCGAACCCCTCTAGTTTAGAAGTACATTTCAAAATAGCTCAGTTACGCCCGTGCCTTTCGGTGCTAATTCGGTGACATATATTCAGATCTTACACTGAACTTAACAAATGTTCTTTTTATTATATGCAAAGAAACGTTTAAAAAAGACATTTTAACCTAATGTTAAATGGAAAGTGTGCCAAATGATAATACAACGTGACGTCATTTACGACATCACGGCAGTAAGTTTGTTTTCCTCCCACAAGATGAAAATAAATCCTTTATTGATAGGAAAAACTTGAATTATCTGTTTATTATATACATTTTGCTCTTGTAACAATACAATTTGAAAAACTTTCCCTTGCATGTTGTATTCTGACCGAATTTAGATAAAAACGTGTTCCATCAAGACACCAGTGAAAAAAAACGGAACATTACTTCACAGTGAAACATATTTTTTTCACAGTGAAAATATGGAAAAGGAAAGACACATTTATTTCATCAATATTTCTCAATATTCTCAAATATATAATTAAATTTTATACAACTCGTTCAATAAATTCAGTATTAAACTTACACTTATTCAATTTGATGTTTAAAATACGATTAATGCTGTCACAACACGTCACCTTAGTGAAGCAAGAGGTTAACTCTCTTTTAATATCAATTGGAGTTAATCCGTTTCAGCACTAAGGTGATGATACGTTGTGTCAAGTGTTTGAACCTTTTTTTTAGAGATTATGTAATCCTCATTTTTAGAAAGCTTCAAACACTATACTTGTTGATTGAGGAACTTTGCAATAACTTTTATAAAGACAAGTATCCTACTAATTACAGACATCTTAACATAGCTTAAAACAGTACGTTATAGAAAGGTATAACGTAAATGCAAAATAGGAATGAAGAAAAATTTGTTTTACCTGGAATATCTAATCGTATATCTTGACATGTTTTACAGCAAGTTTCAAGGTTATTTCGACACTGTTGTAATGACATTCCTACACAATATGACTGTTTATCTCCATAGTCACAATCTAAAAAGAAATAGAGGATCTTGAATTAGTGTAGTGTAATACTAAATATATTGAACGAGTTGAATAAAATCATATTATGCGAGCCTCTGGTGACCAAAATATTGTTTTATTCAACGAGTTCAATAATATTTGTATTGAATCTAGACGAATATAATATTTTATTTATCACATATATAAAATAAAATCAGTAAATTGTTAAAATGAGTATTTTTTAATCACTCGCATATAGTGCAACGCTAACATAAGCGCGTCTTTAATAACGCTATGTTTCTATATAGCGCAAATGACTTCTCGTCAAAGTGTTATTACACTTAGGATATTTGTTAAGTTCAGTGTAAGATCGGAATTTATTTAACCGAGTGAGCACCAAAAGGTATATTTCCCGAGTGGCGCAGCAACGAGTGAAATATGAACTTTTGGTGTTCACGAGGTGAAATATATTTCGATCTTACATTAAACTAAACAAATTTTCAAAGTTATTTTGTAGAACAAAATTTGTTTTTATTTATCAGGTTTTTTTAACAAAATGGCGAAAGAAGTCCCTTAAAATAAACATGAGTTTTGACTCCGGCCACTTTCATATTTATATTTCATACTTATTTTTTACAAATTTGACTAATATAGCACCATATTTCATGGGTAAAATTAAATAATATTTCGGTAACTGAAAATATAAATAAAAATGCTTGTTATTGTTGTTTGAAAAGGCTTTGTAAACTAGAAATGTGTCCATAGGACACGGGTGCCCCCACCGCGCCAATGTTCTGTCAAACTTTTTACTAAGTCAAGGGAAACAAGCATTTGATAGTATTGCGGGCAATACAGTAGTCCCCTACCGGTCCCTCAAAAAGTTCTTTTATTGTCATACACTCCTGTGTATTGCCATTTATAATGAATTTGAGGATGAAGTCTGTATTTGAAAATATCAACCACAAAACATAATAAAATAAGTTTGTCTATATCACAGTAATGTGTTAAGTTTCCATGCTTAGTAAGGAAATTATGTTTATACAACCTTGTCATATTATTACGATGTGGGATTTTAAAGTAAATCCTATAAGGAATGAAGAAGTTGGAGTGAAAATACCAGTTTCTCGAAAAAAATCTAAGTTCAAGGGGGACATAATTCTGGAAATAGTCTTGCTAGAGTATTTAACCTTCTCAAAAATGTTGAGTGATAATAAGAAACATATATATGAAGTTTGAAGTAGATACATTAGGAAATAAAGAAGTTATTTAAAAAAGACAACATTTTTTCCCCTAAAAAATCTAAGTTCAAGGGAGGTAATACCGATATTTTTGTGCTAGAGTTATAAACCTTGTCCCATATGATGTGGTTGATGACCAGAAACTTATATTTAAAGTTTGAAGTAAACACCTTAAGAAATAAAGAACATATAGTGAAAAAGCTGAAAAATTTAAATCAGAAATCTTGAAATTCAGGCTATTTGTTGCCATAGCAACCAGAATTTTCAACATAGGAAGAAAAGAAAAAGATGTGCATAATCTCCAGACTGCCATCTACCCATATTTCAAGTTTCATAAAAATATTTTCAGTACTTTTTGAGTTATCACTTGATCCAGTTTATGTGTTAAATTTGCCATATTTTCAGACTATTTGTTGCCATAGCAACAAGAATTTTCAACATAGGAAGAAAAAAAAAGACATGCATAATCTCCATACTGCCATCTATCCATATATCAAGTTTCATAAAAATATTTTCAGTACTTTTTGCGTTATCGCGGGATCCAGTTTTGTGGACGGACGGACTGACGGACTGACAGACAGACGGACGGACAGACAGACGGACGGAGGGTAAAGCTAAAGTCCCCTCCGGTTTAACCGGTAGGGGACTAACTATACAACCGAGGGTAAAAACATAACAGCCGCATATACAAGTAGTCCCTAACCAGTGATTATTGGCAGTTTAACACCGTTTTTTCTTTTTCTTTGTTTAAAGTGACAAAATCAGTGGAGTGTTAGAATATCACTCAACAGGACTGTCCCGGTTCGTAAAAAAATGTTGCATTTTATCATGTTACGTGAAATTATAGTTTATATATAATATATATTGAATATATTATGTCATATAATATATATTTCAGTTTTGTATTTAAGCCCGTTATGTTGTTTCATTGAAATATCAGCGTTCAAAGAAAAATTGTGACGAATTCCCTAGGTTGCTACGCAACTGCAATTGTACAGCGCGCAGTAATATATTTTTTGTCTGTTTTTGAACGCGCTGTTGGCGCTACATTGTGACGTGACGTAAACAATTCTTTAAGCTTCTGTACAGCGGTAATGACTGAATTAAAGATATTGGTGTTCGGATTAATTTTCTTAGTTAGACCATCTTCTATAATTCTAGACAGTTTTCAAAACAAAATTAAAAAAAAAGACCGGCATATCTAGCTCGAGGGTAACTGTTTACGGCGGTAACGAGGCTCTGCCGAGTCGCCGCTAAACAGTTACCCGAGAGATAGATATTCCTGTATGTACCGACAGCTGGTGTTCTATTTTTTTTCTTGCATATTACATATCAATTTTTTTCAAACAGAAATTACGAAAACTGATATTTTCATTACACTCTTTTTTCTTATAGTAGCGTATGAACTTACTACTTCATTCATAACCGTAAAATGACGTTATCCGAAGAACGCAATTCATTCATAAAAGGCGCGCGGCAATGACGTCAATTAAAGCACGCGACATGTCTAACATGGGGGTGTAAGAAAATGTTTCCTGGCACCGGTGTCAACGGTGGATAATCGTGTCTGACATGCAAGAAATATCTTTTTTTTTTATCTAAATAAAACAATTTTCACGATGGCACGATGGTGAAAGAGCGATGGCACGATGATTAAAAAAAACCGCGATAGTTCGATGGTAAAAGCACGTTGGTACGATGGTGAAAGCACGATAATACGATGGTGACAGTGCGATGGCACGATGATGAAAACGTGATGGTACGTTGGTGAAAGCGCGATGGTACGACAGTGAAAGCGCGATGGCACGATGGTGAAAATACGATGGCACGATGGTGAAAATATGATGGTACGATGGTGCAAACGCGATGGCATGATAGTGAAAACGCGATGGTATGATGATGCAAACACGATGGCGCGATGGTGAAAACGCAAAAAGTAATATGCTGAAAATGCAATATAACACCGCGTTGTCAGTATCGTACTATCGCGCCATCGCGATTTCATCATCGTACCATCCGTTTTCATCATCGTTCTATCGTGTTTTCGCCATCATACCATCGCGTCTTCACCATGGTACCATCGTGCATCGCGGGTACAGAAGAATTTAAAAAATCCCTATTTTCCAAACGGACACCGTAGATATGCAAGAAATAAATGTCGCGAGTCTCTTCTAGATTTTATATACTGGAGGTAGGTTTTTGAACATATGAAAGGAATTTCACGAAAAGAAGCACACATGATATTTTTTTAACATTCCTTGTATGTTTAACTGTTTAAACTGTAACTGCAGTGTTAAAACAGCAAGCCCCCAATTTCATATTTATTTTTAAATGAACATTTCGAAAATGTATTTATAAAATTAAAATATTATGAAGTGAACAATGAAAGTAAGTTACACATTACATACGGCGCTTTCAGTCCCCGAAATTTACAAAAATAAGTTCCAAATATGCAAAAATAGTTCCTACAGCGTAAATGACTCAGTGAAAATATGGTGATATGTACTGTAAAATCAGTCCTTAATCGCACATATGTAAATTAAATACTTCAATGTTGCACCTTTTAACCTTTCTTAAAATCTTATTACTTAATTCTCAAGTTTAATTTTTTTAAAATAATTTAGCTCATCAAAGGGATTGCAGCGCTAACAAACAGCTGAAAAGTGAGAACAAAAGATCACGAGGCATAACAAAATCGACCGAAAATGGATAATGTCACATTCCGTTTCTTTTGTGTGTGTGTGTTTTTTTTTCAAATTTGGTATCAGTGTAGCAATACCACGTGACATTGACGTCATTTTCGGCATCATTTCCAAGACAAATATTGCTCGATTCGGAAAAGAAAATAGCCGTAAATATTTCAACGGCGTTGTACAGTACAACAAGAATAAAACTGTGAATGCATTAGAATATGTGGATCAACATCAAATGAAATAAAAGCTTATACATACAATTCAAATTAACATATTTCTAAAAAATTGCAGAGACCATAAAATGATAAAACTGATTGATATACATGTAGCATGAGATAAGATTATTTACATACATGTAACTTGATTACAAATAGATTAAAAAGGATAAAACATTCATTTACATTGCACATTCATCACACTGTCAGTCATCAGTTATACGTTACTCATGTTTTTCTCATTTCAGATTTTAAAATAGTGATTCAAACTTTCTGAAAAAATGTGTTTTAAGATTTCTCTTACATACATCAATATTCTTAGATTGTTTCAACTCTAATGGCAGCGGATTCCACAATTTTGGACCAATAGTTCCGAAACTTCTGTCACTTAATGTTTTTCTTTTATTGAATGGAATAACGTAGCAGTTCTCAGAGGTTTTAGCTGAACGTAGTCGGGAATTTGGTACTTGTTTGGTTAGGAGTTCAGAAAGGTATTTTGGAGCTTGACCGATTGAACAATTGTATACAAAAGTCAAAATTTTATATTCGATTCTAGATTTGATGGGCAGCCAGTGAAGGTCGATCAATGCTTGCCTTGAACTGTCAAATTTCTTTCGTTGCAGAACTAACTTAGCGCACATGTTTTGAATACGTTGCATTTTTTTTCAATTCAAAATCGGATACACCATAAAGAATGACATTGCAATAATCCAAGTGTGACATTACGAGTGCTATAACTAGTATTTCAGCTGCTTCTTTGGTGAGGTATTTTCGAATACGTTTTATTTTAAGATAGTTTAACATTGCAGTACGGCACTTTCGTTTGACATGTTCCTTGAAATTTAGTGTTTGGTCTAGAAATGCGCCTAAATATCTAATGGACT